CTAATAAACATAAAATCATGTGAGGTGTTTGACTGAACTATTCATATCATGTAATCTGCTGAAAACTGCAGTCATGGTGACAATCTTAAAGAGGAATCTTGACTTGTGAGTGTAGAGCGTTTCTGACATAGGGTTTCTGAGCAGGAAAAGGCGTCAAGTTTATTTTGGGGACAGATGACAGGTGGTTTCCTGTCACCATGACTACATGTTCCTATCAGATTAAAAGCAGTTACCGGAGCTCAGCAGCAGCAGCAGGTGCTCCATGATGTCTCCGTCCTCAGTCTGTGTACTTATATTCAGATATCTGTGTACTTATAAGTATATGTTCATGAGAGGCAGGATGTCAGGCTCTCTTCCTGCCCCCCCCCCCATCAGAAAGACACCTCTGACTACGAAGTGACTACAAATAGACCGAAATAGCTACAAAAAGACACACAAAAACTGCAAAGACATAACATGACGAATAAACGCAAACTAAAATACCTCAAAGAGACAAAACGACCACAAATATCTTCATCCATTATTTTTATTTAGCAGAAACCTATTCTCACACATTCAGAAATGTAAAACAGGAGGATTTTCTTTATCAAGAAGTGAGAATTTTTTGATTTCCTAAAAAAGTGAGAATCTTTACTCTGGCTAAAGTAAATAAATGAAAAATATTTATATAATATAGGGAGGTAAATAAATAATGTGCAAAACGAGATAAATAAATACAGGTAAATAAAAAAATACGATGAAAAAAACAAAAACCGTTACACAACATCTTGTATTCAATAATGCAGATAACCTCAGATAGAGCCAGTCTCAAACATATCCACTAAACACTTTGAAATTACAAACAGACAAAATAAATGAGCCATTTAGCCAGTGGAGGCCGTTCAGCCTGAAATCAATGTAAACTGAATTAGAATTGTTAATTAAGGAAAACTGTGATTGCATTTTCATCAGGCTAGTCATTATAATGCAAAACTCCTTTAACCAGTCGCGAGCCGTGACTTTTATACCTAGGCCCTCTGACCACCCCCCCTCGAAAAAAAAGAAGAGTTATTACGTCACAGCGTATACTTCAGCGAAATATCAAAACAGCGGCCCGGGGTGCAAAACGCATCAATGACAGCGACCCTCTACCACACAAAACAACACCATGTATATAAAGACCTATCATGACAGGGCACCCACAGCCAAGTAACAATTACAAATGAATTAAGTCGGCACCGCGGCCCGCATTGAAAATGACTTAGGCCTACCTTTGATGATAAATCACTGAAACACAAAGTCCATCCTCCTGTCCTTTTGGATGAAGCACTTGATGGCGGGTCATTCAGCTGATCCTTTGCCACTCCAGTTTATCATTGTAACTCAATCTTGAAAATTACTCGGTTAATAATTTCGCAACGATGTCATCATGAACGAATTTATGCTAATTATAAATCTATCGATCATAAATCTATCGTTTAGATTTATGATTCGAAAATAATAAAAGTAGGATAGACATGTGGATATTATCCGGCTGAACACAACGTGCATTTATCTAACAGGTTCGTTTTCCACAGACCTTATTTCGAGCTATTTTCCAAAATCCTCTGGAGAAATCCCATTGCTTTCTGTCGAGGGAATCCGAGCGAAGCTTACTTCCGGGTTTTAGGACGCGTCACTGCACCACTTGCATAGACCTCACAGCGGGCGGAACTTGTCATAAAGTCCGCGAAAATAAAGCCCGCCCATTTAGAGGGAAGATATGATTGGTCAATTGTACTGTCATTTGACATTACTCTCTCGTTGAGTTACTATAGCTGGCCCTCTGTGAATGTAGAGAGGGACCAACAAGCTCTCCCGTCTTCACAACTCGCAGAGACGGCATTTAACCCTTCACATTCCAACAGAAACTGAGCAGGCAGATTCGAAGGATTTATTTCTTTGAAATATTATTTTAAATATAATTAAATCAAGTTATTTTGGTAAAACTAATGAAAAATGTAACAACAAAAAAATATTAAAAATAAAATTTTATTTTTTTAATGTTTTCAAATATTATTTTTTAGAATATCTTTGGGCCTCACAGAGGGCCTAGAGGGCCCTGACGGCTCGCCACTGCCTTTAACCCTCCTGTTGTCTTCGGGTCAAGTCTGACCAATTTACTACTTTCATCAATCATAACTTTTTTGTTTTACATTCGATTGCATTAAGGCTTTATGACATCCTTCACAGTAGACATTTGAACATATACAATTGCTTATCACCACTTTCATTGAATTTTGGATGATTTAGTCAACTTTGTAACACCTGTGGTGTTCCCGGCAAAAATGACCGCCATAAAGAAAAGGAATTAGTAACCATCCGGATCAGATAAAACACACACACACCACACACACACACACACACACACACACACACACACACACACACACACACACACACACACACACACACACACACACACCCACATGGAACAATTGCACACATTTCCCGCTCTTATGTGCCCATCCCCCCACATGGATCACACATGGCACACAATACATGTTCGGTGTCTATTCTTTGTATATTTACTAAAGTGTTTCATGTATACCAGTAGTCTGATACAATATGTACGGAGCCCCCTAGGGGACATGGAGCAGAAGAAAAAAATTCTTTGAAAAAAACAAAATGTTTTGCGAGATATTGCAAAACCTTTCATTTAGCTCAATGTATTTCCTGGTCAGTTTGGCTGCTACGGCAACACAGAAACCACAACAATGGAGCGGTTCATCGATTTCACTTTGAGCTTGGCCTTAAGTGTAAAGATATAATAGGCGTGTGGCGCAGTGGACTAGTGCGTTGGTGTTGGGATCAGGGGGTCACAGGTTCAAACCCCACTGCAGTCAGCATGTCGTTGTGTCCCTGAGCAAGACACTTCACCCCAAATTGCTCCTGTGGGGATTGCTCTAAAGGAGTATGTAAGTCGCTTTGGATAAAAGCGTCTAACAAGTAACATGTAATGTAATGTAAATATAACATCAGTGCTTGGCAATAGGCACGGGTTTCACATAAGTGAAAAACACCTCAAGAGAACACTCAGAGCGAGGGGACATGCACGTCCCTCTGAGCTGAGTTATTGACGGATTCGAATTTCGCGGATCAATAACTCATGAACATAACGTTGTAAAAATACAAACAACATGACTTTACAATCATAGCAAGGTAGACAACGATCTACAGAGTCGTTTTTATCAGAACAGTTCGATACGCGCCATCATCAGAACAAAACATCAATAATTGGTCACAATCTGCAGCTTGAGGAGGGAGAGGAGTGCTTAGGGACCGTCTACAAACTGCAACGGGGTTTTGCGAGATCTCGCAAAGGTTTTGCGATATACATATATATATTATTTTTGTTTTGTTCAAATAATTTATGTTTTCTTCTCCATGTCCTCTAGGGGGCTCCGTAAATATGTACAGTTTGAAAGGGTGTGAAATGAAATTTGGTGATGATTAATGGTTTTTGTGTTAATGTAATAGCAGTCAAATTTGACCGTGAACACCAAAGTAAGGGGGGGGGGGGACGAAGACAATAGGAGGGTTAAGATATCTCTAAAACCTTCCTTATATTGCTACAAAATGTCAGATGTCTATATTTATGGTACATTTAATGAACCCCGCCTACAGAGAGGTCAAACGTCAGGATCAGATACAGAGAAGCAGCAATTTAGTGTTATGTGGTTAAATAGCTTTTAATGATATGTTTGTGGTAAAAACACCCACTTGACAAAAGCAACAGTCGTTAAGCCAGATTCTTTGAGGAATTGGAAAACATCATTATCATTTGCATCTAGTAATAAAACGTCTGGGAAAGTGTGAGAAATGCTGATAATCCAGGACGTGTTTGAGTTTACGAGGTGAATGAGCCATGATCAGACTGGACAATGGCGCCACCTGGTGTTCAGTTTGTGTTACTGACATATTCTGTGTTCACATGACATTTATTGTGACAGATATTCAGTAAATGTCCTGTAATGGGCCTCTTCAATTGTTACTAGCCTGGCTGGAGCTGGGTTTGCTCTTTTAACGGCGCTAAATCAATGCAGTTATGTGTTTATTTAGTGGTGTGAAAGCATTTGTATGGGTAACAGCTGTTGGATGTATTTAATTTGATATACTGTGTTTGTGTAATTGGAAAATTGGTGACAGGAGAGGTCAAGAAGCTGCTTTACATAATTTAGGTTAATAATACAATATTAAAACTTAATACAAAAATGATTACCATTAATTAATATGTATCTAACATTTATTTATTTCTCCACTAATTTCTTATGTGTGGTAACATACAGCTGTGACAAAATAAATCACAATTTGGAGAGAAGAATAAACGAAAATTAATTGAAAAATAAACTCGTTATTGGAGCAGGGAAATCAATATACTTCAGCAAGGTTATACCACAATATACTCCATTTTAATTAATTTAAAATGGCTAATAAAACAACAATTCTTAATAAAATAATATAGAAACTATGTCATTTGTGTGCTTAAATCCAATTTACAGAATATAAATTGAATGTAGCATGCAATAGAAGCTCTTGTATGAAAACACTTCAACTAAATATAACCACTTTTAGTATCAAAAATAATATTAACATTAAATCCTGAATTTGTCTTGTAAAATATGACATACAACGTAAAATAATAATATAATGATATATATATATTGTAGTAATAATGATATAATCTATTTATAATTGTAATGTATATTGTATTTAGACATACATTTAGATTTACAATTTGTTAAATGAAAAAAATATATATATGTTAATAATTTAATCTTTGGGAGAAGGGGTGGGATTACTTTTTTCGAATGTGTAATTAGGTAGATAATTTGTTTATGTATAATTTGTAAATCAATAATATTTTTGTTTATCAATCTGATACTGCTTAAGTTTGTACAGTATCATCATTCTCATCAAAATCAAAGACACTTTTATTCTGAAGGCAGCTCTGACGCACACCGGAAGTAAACATTGACCACATGCAGTTTCCGTGATATTTCCTGTTTTCGAGGTTGGACTTTAACCTGCATATGATTTGTTGTTGTACGTTACGGGTGAGTTAGTATAATCTGCAGGTATGAGTGCAGTGATCCCCCGGATAGAGCAGCTGTCCGCGCGCGTGGTTCGGGTTTTGGGGTGCAACCCGGGACCGATGACCCTGCAGGGAACCAACACCTACCTGGTCGGGACCGGGGAAAGGTGACACCAGTCCACTTCATGTGTATTATTCAATTTGCAGAATACCTTTATTTTTGATAACAACCATTACAGTTTGGTTTGACGCTCATGCAGTTCATGGAAGATGACGTCAAGCCAAAGTCCATTCACATGTCTCTACATTTAGTGTTGTATTGCATGTAGGGTACAATCCATTGTTTATAGACCAATACTTAATATGTGTACTGAATTGCAAGACTTTACTGATTATTTCGGCATATATTTAATATAAAAATAACAATAATTTGGAGTGTTTTTTGGAGTTTTGAAATATACATATTCTTCTGCACAGTTTAAGGCAGGGGGGTCAAACTCAAATACACAGTGGGCCAAAATAATAATAAATGGGTACTTGTCGAGGGCCGGACTGGTTCAATGTTTATTGCAGTTCTAACTTATTGAAATGAACTTATTGCACATATTAAACCTGGAACCAACAAAGCTTAAATTATTAACTTTAAAAACAACATTACAAATTAAATAATCAGTTGCATTCATTTCTTATGGCTCTATCTGCAGCTTTTCCGGAGTCATTTCTTATGATTACATTTTTCCACAGGCCAACAACTGCTTCAAAAAAAACAATTTCCCTCAAAGAACAAACCAAACATGCCCTGTTGTCGCAAGAAAAGAAAGCGCAGAAGGAAACGTCCATTGAACTCAGGTTGCTGCTCTGTGATGCTAGCTCAGATACTTGGCATCTCATCTTGGGTGCAAGGTCATCAATGTTTGGGCTCAGGCTCTGAGCTGAGGAAACCCTCAGGATTGAGTGAAGGTGTGCGTGCAACATACCGTCGGGCCAGATCTAATAGTAATTAGAAATTATCCTGTGGGCAGGGGCGGCGCCAGGGGGTAGCTTGGAGTTGCTATAGTAACTCCAACAATTGGCCTAGCAACGGCTTAGCAACCCCATTGTTTTGTTATGAAAATGTATCTATATTAGGGGTGTAACGTTCACAAACATTTCGGTTCGGTACGTACCTCGGTTTTTTGGTCACGGTTCGGTTCGGTACATTTTCGGTACAGCAGATTTTTTTCACAAAACAAAACATATATATATATTTTATTATTATTAAACTGTGAATAATGTATTCACTCAAATAAATACAAAATATAATAAAATAAACATTAAGGTGCAGCATTTCGATGAACTGAAATAATCTGTATTTTAACTTTACTGTACTAGTACTCACAAAACATAAACTATTAGTTTTGGGTTTTTAATTATTATTAAACTGTGAATATTCACTCAAATAAATACAAAATATAATAAAATGAACATTAAGGTGCAGCATTTCGATGAACTGAAATAATCTGTATTTGAACTGTACTGTAGCCAGTTTGACATTATGACTTGCTTGTCATTGTATTTTCATGTTTTTTTAAAGAAAAATGAACTAGTCCACATTGCTTGCCGAAAGGGCAGATCTGCTGGCACTAACAATGTCTCCTGCTGTGGAGAAAACCCTCTCACTAGGGACAGAGGTAGCAGATACAGCCAGGTAGCGCTTTGCTAACATGGCAACATAAGGATATTTGGCGTTTGTAATAGCTTTGGCTCGGTCTGAACTCTTTGCGAGTGGTGGAGGCTTAAATGCTAGTGGGAGTTGGGTTTGCACTTCAGTCTTTTTTCTTTTGGTACCGGTGATATTCACGTTCGGGGTGATGCCTTTTCAAGAGTGTGCAAGTTTGATGTATTGCCAGCCGCGTAACCAATTTTAGTTGAACAATGCCGACAAACAGCTTTGGTTCGGTCCACCTGTCTTTGTCCGTCATCCTTGTACGTAACTGCGAAACCAAAATGTTCCCAAACCGGAGACTTCAATGATGCTGGAGGATTTTCGAGCTCAACTTTATCTGCGTTCGCCATACATTTTTGACAGTTCCTCGAATTACTGACTACATTTGAACGCATCCCTCTGACCAGCTCTCATAGTATGCCTCCCATCCAATGAAATGACTTGCTCGCTCTATGACGCGTTGAACCCAATGTGAGCAAATTACTCTGAATGCTGCGACGCAGCACCTGATGCCCCGGCCACACGAGGACGAAAACGGTCGTTTGCGTTACTGTTTAGTGTCATATAGACCGTTCGGCCACACGAGGACGACCGAATACGGCACTAAACGACTGCGGAAACGATAACGGGTCCCAAGGTGGATAGAACGGCATACGCAACGCTCTGGGGGGTCCAACGACTCCATGTGTACGCCCTATACGATCATTTTCTGATAATGATGAGGCAATAGCCCCGCCTCTCCCCACCTCTGCTGCTCACCCCCGCGTCAAAGTAAACTGCACACTGAATTCAGATTATTTCTCTTTCTCTCGATATGGACCTAAACGCGAGTGAAGTCTAATCTGACAGGACGGAGACACCTCTCAAACTACCTAAACTAGTTATAAATATGTTTATTTTTACTGTCGGCCGGGTCACTCATTACTGGATCAGCTGCTGCATGAGACAGACACTGGCGCTGTCCGAAGAGAGGGAGGAAAAAGAGGCTCCATGTATTTTATTATTATATTATATAGAGTCGTTATTCATTTGTTTTAAAGCTCAATAAATAACAAAGAAGACCTTTGACCGGCACTTTTATAATTTTGTCGGAAGGTTTAAACTTTAATACACGTTGACTGGCGAAAAACTCTGCCCGGTTCCCTCGGCCCCCACCGCGGAGAATAAACAGAAGGGCAACCATGACAACCATGCTTCTTCGCTGCTTTTGTGGAGGAAGTTACAGCGCCACGTACAGGCTCCTGCATGTACTGCAGCTTCTCCAGCGGTTGGAGCTAAACGGAGCTGTCTCGTGTGGACAGACACTATCCGGATGACTATTGCGTGTGGACGGAAGCTTTTTTGCGATTGCGTTTGAGTTAATCCTATGCGTTTAGCCGTTTTCGTCCTCGTGTGGCCGGGGCATGAGATTACTTCCAAAAAGTCGTTCACGTTCTCGAATAATTTCGGTACGGTTACCGTTACACCCCTAATCTATATGTATACACATTCTCGCGAGATCTATCAGGGGTCGTTGTAAGTTAAAGCGCAAGCTGTTACTTGGCTAATGTTGTTATAATTCTCAGTATGTGAACACAGATCGAAAATGGAAAGATTTCTCACAAGTCAGCGTAAACGACCACGATCTCCAACGGAGCCTGTCCAGCCCTGCTATCCACAAGGATCGCGGGCCGAAATTAAATCCACCAAGGGCCTGATTTGGCCCCCGGCCTTGAGTTTGACACATGTGGTTTAAGGGAATCATTTGGGTTATCCTCTCATAAATAGACTACATTGTTTTTCAAATACACATGTTCTTTTGCAGGTAGTCTAGAGGCAATGCATGAGTTTTATTCTCATAACATATTGTGTACATTACCTTCTTAAATAAACATAATTAGTGCACAATACAAACATCGTGATACCTAAAGTTCAAACACAAATGCATGGGTTAACTTGTATGCAAAGAAAACAAGAAAGAAAGAAAGAAAGCATGGCTAGATATATCGATATTATATCTATATAGCAATTCATGGGTACCAAGTACGTCATTTGAGACTAGATATAGTTTAAGATTTCTAAAATCGCAAATGTATTTTTTCCTGGTTTTGTGATTTTCCAGACTGTGTTTGCTCTTTACCAACTTCTCTATCCACACTACTGATGATTATTAGTATTATCACAAAATCTAAATTGTGATATTTGATCAGAAATATTGTGATTTTTCTCCATATCGCTCTGCTCAGCCTAAATGCATGTACATGGTTAAGACATTGGTGCATATGAAGTTGGAAAGCCACTTTTAAAGCTTGTCGGAAAGTATATTCTAATATGTGTGTGATTGTATTTCAGGAGAGTGCTGATAGACACTGGAGAATCAGCTGTTCCTGAATACATCAGCAGTCTGAAGCTCGCTCTGAAACAGTTCAACACCAGCATCCAGGAGATCATCGTCACTCACTGGCACCACGACCACATCGGGGGGGTGGAGGACATCTGCCGGGACATCACTGGTGAGGACACTTAAAATGGGAAATAAGGTCAAATATATTCCCTGCAGCTCTGGTTAAGTTGGTTTGGTTCAGTTTAATGACCTTTCGGCAGAGAGGGTAAAAGTACACACATCCTTTACTCAAGTAGAAGTACAGATACTTGTGTTTAAAAATATTATAAGTACTGACTAAACTTCTAAGGCTTTGAAATGTACTTAAGTAAAAAGTAGCCATAACTAGCAGCTGTTTTAAAGAGTACCTGACCTCCCTTTATATTAATAGAACAATAATGTCATTGTTAGCTAATGAATGTTTCCATGCTGAACAACGGCAACATGACAACGTTTCCATTGGTCCCTCTTCTTTAGAGAAGACCAGGAAATGATGGATACACGGATCGTGTTCAAATCAATAGGGCACGCAATGACTCTAAAGAATAATGATCACGCACCAAACACACATTCAGACTAAAGGAACCAGCTGTTTGGAAAATGAGAGAAGTAGAAAGTACAGGTATTTGAGTTCAACATGTAAGAAGTAGAAAGTACAGGTATTTGAGTTCAACATGTAAGAAGTAGAAAGTACAGGTATTTGAGTTCAACATGTAAGAAGTAGAAAGTACAGGTATTTGTGTTCAACATGTAAGAAGTAGAAAGTACAGGTATTTGAGTTCAACATGTAAGAAGTAGAAAGTACAGGTATTTGAGTTCAACATGTAAGAAGTAGAAAGTACAGGTATTTGAGTTCAACATGTAAGAAGTAGAAAGTACAGGTATTTGAGTTCAACATGTAAGAAGTAGAAAGTACAGGTATTTGAGTTCAAACATGTAAGAAGTAGAAAGTACAGGTATTTGAGTTCAACATGTAAGAAGTAGAAAGTACAGGTATTTGAGTTCAACATGAAAGAAGTTAGAAAGTACAGGTATTTGGGTTCAACATGTAAGAAGTAGAAAGTACAGGTGTTTGTGTTCAACATGTAAGAAGTAGAAAGTACAGGTATTTGAGTTCAACATGTAAGAAGTAGAAAGTACAGGTGTTTGTGTTCAACATGTAAGAAGTAGAAAGTACAGGTGTTTGTGTTCAACATGTAAGAAGTAGAAAGTACAGGTGTTTGTGTTCAACATGAGAGAAGTAGAAAGTACAGGTATTTGAGTTCAACATGTAAGAAGTAGAAAATACAGGTATTTGTGTTCAACATGTAAGAAGTAGAAAGTACAGGTATTTGTGTTCAACATGTGAGAAGTAGAAAGTACAGGTATTTGTGTTCAACATGTAAGAAGTAGAAAGTACAGGTATTTGCATGGGCGCGGGAAGGGGGGTGCTGAGGGCGCTGCAGCACCCCCTAGCGGAATTATTATTTGACGGTTATGGCTGCTCCCGCTGTGCATAATCTGTGTAATATGTAGCCAATAAATTCCACATTGTTGGTAAAATAATATTTTGGCCTGCCCCGAATGTTTTTTCTGTAGCCCCGGACAATTCTACCTCAATAATATAATACATTAACCGTGTTTTACGTGAACCTCATCAAGACACTAGAGAGGACGGCAGGACTGTAATTTCCCGTGTTCAGTGAATGCAACAGAGGCAAGACACCAGACCAATCAGAGAGTTGCATGGAAATAAAAGTGTGCTTGTGTCATTCAAGCTCGGGTGTGTGTGTGTGTGTGTGTGTGTGTGTGTGTGTGTGTGTGTGTGTGTGTGTGTGTGTGTGTGTGTGTGTGTGTGTGTGTGTGTGTGTGTGTGTGTGTGTGTGTGTGTGTGTGTGTGTGTGTGTGTGTGGTGTGTGTGTGTGTGTGTGTGTGTGGTGTGTGTGTGTGTGTGTGTGTGTGTGTGTGTGTGTGGTGTGTGTTGTGGTGTGTGTGTGTGTGTGTGTGTGTGTGTGTGTGTGTGTGTGTGGGTGTGTGTGTGTGTGTGTGTGGTGTGTGTGTGTGTTTTGTGTGTGTGGTGTGTGTGTGTGTGTGTGGACATAGCGCATTTAGTGTGTGTGAGAGAGGGAGAGAGTGAGAGAGGGATCGGTGCCAGCAGCAGGGACCGTGTTGTTAGCATCTGGTTAGCTAGCTGCACTAACGGACATACGGAGCTGTTGGTTCCACAACAAGCTGGAGGAGAGCTCTCCTCTCAGACTGAGAGGCTCAGGTGAGCTAAAGGACTCTCTGAGTGTTTAGATAGTTCACTTTAGTCTAAGTTATCTCAGTGGGTCTCAAACGGTTTGGTCACAAATTGTTCAAAAGATTATTTCCGCGGCACACTTTCATATGATCACTATAGTTATAAAAAAAATAAGAGAATAAAGGAAAAACAGTTATGAAATACTATATGGCAGTAAAACAAGAATACAGTTTGAAAGGAGAGTGATTTGTAAAATATCCATAAAGAAAAAGAACATATGCTTACAGTTGTGTTTCATCTGGGTGTTGAGAGATGTATCCATAGATCTCTTCATGTTGCTCTCAAAGTGCACCAGATTGATGCTTTTAACTTCAATATTTAAAAAAAATCTTCCCTGGGGAGCATCCCCCCGGACCCCCCTAGAGGAGGTGAGGTCCGCTCCCCACTCGTAAAAAAAACAGCACTTTACCCCTGCCTATATGCCGTGAGCTGATTATCGAGCCTTCATTGTAACAGTCGCGGGTGTACTGTGTGTTTGCGTGTGGGGAGTGCTTTTGTGCGTGCTCTATAGTGCCCGTAATAGTGTTCACTGGAGTCCAGCACCCCCACTCAAAATACCTTCCCGTTCCCGCGCCTCTGCGTATTTGTGTTCAACATGTAAGAAGTCAAAGTAAAAAGTCGTCAGAAAAATAAGTAGTGGAGTAAAGTACTGATACCAGAAGAATGTGCTTAAGTACAGTCACGAAGTATTTGTACTGCACTACTTCCCACCTCTGCCTTTAGGACACTATCAGAGGTGATTTCCCACAGTAAAAGTGTGTTTTAATGTCAGTTCGCTTGACCTCACACTTTGTTGCACATCTCAAAACATTGTCTTGCACTATTTTATCTGTTTTATTTGTTCTATGTCCTATATATATATATTCATGTTGCACTGTTGGAGGAGCCTGTGACTTACGTTTTTCAGTGCCATATCTACACTGTAGCTAATGTGCACATGACAAAAAAGCCTTGATACTTGAATCTCGAATTGATTCATCATTACAAATGTATCTAGACGTCACCAAAAATAAAACCCTTCTACTTTTGTGTGTGTGTGTGTGTGATCAGTGTTTGTTTTTGAAAAAATTAGTGGGGATGAAGTATTAATTGGTACTATTTAATTTAAGTCACATTTTGTTGCCAATTAATGTCTTGGTGTCATGAAATCTTGAATGTCATGTCCTTTAACTCATCCTGTTAAAAAAATAAATGATACAGATATTTCTCTGTTTCTCCTCCTGCAGGTTCTGAGGTCCGAGTCAGCAAACTGCCTCGCTCCAGCCAGGTCACAGAAACAGCCGGAAACAAAAGCGTTACTTATCTGAAAGACGGAGATGTCGTCCAGACCGAAGGCGCCACACTGAAGTCAGTTCACTTTATATACAAGTTATATTAGGAGTTTTTTAAACCGGCAGGACTTTTAGTAGCTTTGCAGGAAGTGAAAACACACAAAAGACACACTGTGATTTATATGCACTAAGGTTATCGTTTAATAAAAATCATTGCTCCAATTAAAGATATTTTGAAGAGATAAGTGTGCAAGATTAACGACATAATGTGTGTTACATGTATTTGTATTTAATAACAAACCATATCATGGCTTATTTATTTTTATTTTTATTATTATTCATCAATTAATGTATTTGTTTATATATATATTTTTCAAGGGTAATATGTCATTCGCTAAATTGTTCTTTCTTTTTTGTATACTAATATAATATTTTTAAATTTGAAAGAAAATTGCTTTTAATGTTGTTTACATTTTGCGGGCAGAACGTATGTTGCAAAGTCACCCTAAAAACTAATTATAATCTAAATAATCATTAGAAACATGCCACATAAATCAAATCGAAATGTATTATAGCCCCAAATCACAAGAAATGCCTCAAAGGGCTGTACAAAACAAACACAAAAACAAAATACCATCGTCATAGCATAACAATTATAAAAACATTAGACAACAACATAGACTCACTCAAATACACAGTGGGCCAAAATAAAAAAAATGGGTACTAGTCGATAGGGCTGTCCCGAATACCATTTTTCAGGCTCCGGATATTAGGTAGCAGCGAATATTCTGCCCGCGGGGGGACGACGACGACGACTATGAAGTCCTCCTTCACAGCGACTGGATCCTCCCACCAGCCTGAAAGACTCTGAACAGAAACAGGAGAGTCATCAGTAAAAGAAGAGAGTTCACAGAGAGGGGAAGTCCCGCCCCTTCCTGTGGACCAACATGAGACCTTATTACAGAAACATATTTATGGGTCTTTAAGAATTGGAGGACATTTTCTGTCCCACCTTTGACATTTCTCTGTACCCAAAATGCTGAAACATGCACTTTTTGTGTTAAAGATACAGTGGAAGAATAAAATTCAAAACATATTAGTAATCAGCAGCGAACCGCTTCAACTCGTGTATTTCGGTGTATTCACGCCATTCATTTTGTTACTCTACTACAGTATTGTTGTTTTATAGTTATTTGTTAATGTAACCCAATTTGTGTTCTTTGAAATGGAAAAGGATATCGCATTGTGTTTGTTACTTTCGTTGCAGTTGTATATGTCTTAAGTATAATTTGGCTTGGCTTCCTATTTATGGACATGCTTTTATTTTGAAGGAGAGGTAGCGCTGTTGACAGGAAGTTGTTGTTGCTTTGGAAACACACACATTTAGACACGGCATCTATTGCACGTCTGTCCGTCCTGGGAGAGGGATCCCTCCTCTGTTGCTCTCCCTGAGGTTTCTCCCATGTTCCCTTAAACTGTGGGTTTTCTCTGGAAGTGTTTCCTTGTACGATGTGAGGGTCTAAGGACAGAGGGTCTAAGGACAGAGGGTCTAAGGACAGAGGGTGTCGTATTGTCATACTGATATTCTGTACACACTGTGAAGTCCACTGAGACAAATGTAACATTTGTGATATTGGGCTATATAAATAAACATTGATTGATTGATTGGAAACAACGTGACGGAGATTAATGGAGAAAAGTAATATCTACATATAAAGACGGAGAAAGTAAACGATAACGTTTATGGTTAAGTGTTAGCACCCCCCGAAGAGGCACAAGCTCTTACGTTGATATTGGACATTTCAATAAATTCAATTTGAAAAAAAAAACGGGCAAATAACAAACAAAACGAATATCCGAATAACGAAATTGAAACCCGAATAGTACTCCAATGAACGAATATTCGGAAATTCGGGTACAGCCCTACTAGTCGAGGGCCGGACTGGTTCAATGTTTATTGCAGAACTTATTGAAATGAACTTATTGCACATATTAAACCTGGAACTAACAAAGCTTAAATGATTGCCTATAAAAACAACATTAAACATTAAATAATCAGTTGCATTCATTTCTTATGGCTCTATCTGCAGCTTTTCCAGAGTCATTTCTTATGAGTACATTTTTCCACAGGCCAACAACAGCTTCTAAAAACTATTTCCCTCAAAGAGAAAACCAAACATGCCCTGTTGTCCTGAGAGAAAGTGCAGAAGGAAGCATCCATTGAACTCAGTGTGCTGCTCTGTGATGCTAGCTCAGATACTTGGCATCTCATCTTGGGTGCAAGGTCATCAATGTTTGGGCTCAGGCTCTGAGCGGAGGAGACCCTCAGGATGGAGTGAAGGTGTGCGTGCAATATACCGGCGGGCCAGATCTAATAGGAATTAGAAATTATCCTGCGGGCCAAAATGAAATCCACCAAGGGCCTGATTTGACTTGAGTTTGACACAAAACTCAAAATACAGGAAATCCCAATGAAATCCCCCCACTACAAAGCAACAACATGTGAAAGGTTAAAACCCAGGAAGACAGAGGACAGTATTGTATATTTGACTGATGTCCCGCTCAGATAACAACATTCAGAGAGTTTTCCATGTCTTTTTTCCCAGAGTGCTGTTCACCCCGGGTCACTCTGACGACCACATGGCTCTGCTGCTGCAGGAGGAGCACTCTCTGTTCTCTGGAGACTGCATCCTGGGAGAGGGCACCGCCGTGTTCGAGGATCTGTTCGACTACATGAAGTCTCTGAACGTCCTGCTGCTCTCCCAGGCCGACTGCATATACCCCGGTGAGGGAGAACACACACCGTGTATATTAAGTCATATTAGGTTTTTACTACGCGTTTATCACGGCTAATTATAGATGAGTGTCGTCTTTTATTGTCACTTCTTTGAGGCATTCGATCATCTCTCCTCGGGTCAGAGTTTCTGGTCTTCGGAGCAAATGATACACTTTGCTTACTACTTGGGATGACACTTTTTTTTTTTTATAGTTGAATCAGAATACTTTATTTATCCTGGGGGAAACTGGGTTTGTACGAACATTTGAAATATAAGATATATTTACTAACACAAATAAAGTCAAACGTTCATATAAACATAAGAATTTCAAGCCAGAATGAAGAATAAAACGATAAAATAAAATAACTTTTAAACGTAAGAAGTTGAAATAAAATGTCCAATTAAAAAATAAAATGTAATAATATATATAGTTTTGTTGTTGAATTTGTTAAGTCAATCTCCCGTAGTGGGAGAATGAAGATGAACTGAACTCAACAACAAAAAAGTAACGATATTATTATTGCAATACCTGTAGTAAATAAAATGCATTTGGTCTCTTCTTTTGCAAATGAATTACTCTCAAAATATAAATTCAAGGAGTCGAAGACAGAATCTTTCACCATCGTATCACAACAATGAAATAAGTCCCTGGAATAAACAACAGAAGTCATCAGTCAGTCTGACGCTTCGTTGTGTGCAGTCTTCCAGATGTTGAAATGAACCCCCTGCTGTTCTCTCTGCAGGTCACGGCCCCGTGGTGCAGGACGCTGCCTCTAAGATCAGACACTACATCAGCCACCGAGCCCAGAGAGAGCAGCAGATCCTAGAGGCCATCCAGCAGGGAGAGGGCGCATCCTTCTCCTCCATGGAGCTCGTCAAGATCGTCTATAAGGTCGGGACGGACACTATAATAATAATAAAGCTTTATTTATATAGCACTTTTCATTCAACACATGCTGCTCAAAGCGCTTTACAAAATGACACGGCACAAGTTAAAAACAAACATGAAATTCCCCTCAGATTATTTGTTAAGAACTTTAAAAGGTACATGCAGCAAAATATAACATTTTATCAGGTTAATAGACACAAGGAGGTCAAATGTATGATAATACAAATAAAATAAATAATGGTTTCTCTTCGACAGATAAGACACAAGACAACTGAATCGACGCAACAATATGAAACCCCTTACAACATATACTATACGATATGATAGGATAATACTTTACTGTCAGATCAGGCTTTGCTTGATTGAAACAGGGAAACAAATCGCTGAAGACTATATGTTGAAGACCCTTTAGCGTGACCTGGGATTTAACTCTGAATTTAAGTTTAGGATTAGCTGGAGCACAAAAGAGTGCTTCAGTCTCTCACCCAGGGACGTCAAACTTAAGGCATCCGGCCCGCAAGAGCTTGCAAAGAATATAATAAGTTTATTATACGGTTACATGCGGCTTTACAGTAGCACGTTGCTCATAAACTACATGTCCCACAATGCATCTCATTTTGTGACTGAAGAGACTTGCAATTACTTGCCCTCGAGTTCTGCTTTCAGTTAATTATGAAGTTATTACCCTATCCGATAAAAATCCAATGCAGAGGCAGTAATGTAATATTATACATTATTTTATATATATTATGTATTTATGTATATTCATATTGTCTTAAAGTTACAACTGGCCCTTAACGTTGAGTGCAACTATAATGCTGATGTGGCCCGCAATGAAATTGAGTTTGACACCGCTGGTCTAACCCTAATGAATTGGACTGATTAGTTTGCACTCGTCAATCCAGTCTGGTACTTTGTTCAGCCTGTAGTCATTATACTACACCTTGAGTTAATGTGGAATATTGCAAAGTTATATTCTCTGTTTAGTGGCATCCACACTGGATAGAAAGTTAAAGTCACAGTGGAAGCAGATGCAATCAGAAAGTTCCTTTTTTAAATACAAAGTAAACACATTAAAGTAGACACCAATGCTAGGATAAGTCAATGGAAGGGACCTGAAATCCCGTGGTCTGCAGGCGCTCAAACAACCAAGCTACTCCTCTGTGTACATTGAGGAGGTCAGAAGTTTGACGCATTCTTCTTCCCGTTTCCTGCCCAGGACACTCCTGAACACCTGCACAAAGCGGCTAATGTGAACCTGGTGCATCACTTAAAGAAACTGGAGAAAGAGGGCAAGATCAGCCTGGGTATGTAACTCTTAAATCTTAAAGCATCAGTTTGGTGTGTGAACATTACAATGAGTAAAAGGGAGTATACATTGAGTGTGTTGTTGTTGATGCTCTGCACTCAAAAGTGTACTTTTTCTTTCCTCAGTGAATGAATCTTCAAAGAACATCAAATGGAGAAGTAACCTGTGATATCCTTGGGCGCCATGAAGACACTATTTTAAATGTAATATTTGGTAAGGATGAGGAATATTCAGCTGAATGGTATATCCTCACTTATCAATCAAAAATAACCTGATCAATGGCCTTAGATACTCTGATTGACAGATATGTTACAGATAGATCAGGGATGGAGGTCACACTCGATGCCTTGGATGTTTCCTGAGCATACAGACCATTAACACACACTCACCTGGACTGAGCTGCTGTGTCAAATAACATGTATTAAGGTATATATGTCTGTAAGTCAGGTGCATTTGGCTAGTGGGAGAATGGAAAAGTAGACACAGTTTGCACCGAATAATATTGCTTATTTTCCGTCTTCCTTGGTAGAATTTTCCCCAAGTTTCGTCTCAGGAAGCACTTTTTTGTTGACTTTAAACACATTAAATGTGAGTGTCGACTGTAACAGATGTCTTCTAAAAATCGATATATTTGAATCCAAAGCTGCACTTAGATACGTTTCTTTTTCATATGCTCTCACCAAAGTTTTAAAAAGTTGTATTAAATCTGTTCTCTTTCTTGAAAAATGAAGCACCCGTTCTACAAGTGATGCTATTCCTCAGTCAGTCACTAGGTGGCAGTATCCGCTAATACTTTTATTGGGCAGAACTTTGATTTTACACTTACTGTAACATAACACTTTACAAATATTTTGTATATGATAAAGAAAGATGTAGAAATGGTGTGGTGGAGAGATTGTTGGCTACTACAGTGATGTGATGTTGTATTTTCTGACTATGATGAATAAAATCAACTGTGCATTTGTGATAGTAATGAGATCATCATTAGGGATATGTTTTTAAATGAATGAATAATACATGTGAACATCTGAATGTGATCTCATATCATCGTCATGATGGTGACGCAGTGTCTCTCTGATCAGATATTCTGCGTTGACCTGTGCTCGACCTCTCATCTGTTCCCCGGCTCTGAAACAATCTGATGTTTGGGGATTTGTAATAGATACACAACGAGTTCTGACTGTCAGATCACTCACTGTAGATTGTCTACATAAACTGCTCAACTTGACCACTCGTAATAAATGACTACAATGCATTAATCCTGTAGAATAAAACATCTGGTATTTTAGAGTGGTTCTGATGATCAATAAGAAGTAAACTTGTCAAACAAAGTGAACAGTAAGAATACCTACTTGTGTTTTACGTCAGTATTTCAATTTGTAATGCTACATTAAAATATATAATGTGATGCAGTGTTGTGTTCTTTATTATGCACAGTAGCTAAAAATAAACTTAAATTAGGTCTACATTGACAACATACAAATACAAAAAAATCTCCATTTGTTTAGGTTGAGTAAAAGAGCTGTCAGAGAGAGAGAATGGCAGAGTGACACTGAGCTCTGCAGAGTGGTAATGAGATGAGTGGAGGTGGCGGTGATGGAGGAGGGTGGGGGGGGGCTGTGAAGATAAACAGCCGAGAGAGGAGCGTCTGAGCTGGAGGAACATGGCGGCTCCGGCCCTGGACGCCTCCACCGCTTCGTCCCTCTGACCGACACACACACTCACTCACTCACACACCCCGTCGACAGACACACACTTTACGCACCGTATGGCTCCACAACTCTCCGGTAAGTTTCCTGTCTTTATCCGACTGGACCCCCGTTACTCTTTTAATCCCACCCTTTACAAGTAACGGTAGTATTTATGTGTTTAAAGTGATTTGAAGCACACTTTATGGAGCAAATCCACCCCTCGTTATATTAAGTGGTGTATTTAGAATATTATAGGGTTAATACGTTGGGAAATAACGTTGCTATCGACCGGCTTGTTTTGGAGCAGGTTTTTTTAAAGCCTTTTCTATGAACTGTACACGAGGATACACGTTCAGGCTTGTTATTTTGGGTTAATTAATAGTACAGAACCGGGGTTGTATGTCTTATTATATAATTATCGCTAAAAGCCCTTCCTGATAAACAGAAGCTGTGGGCTTATGGGAACCACGGAGCTTCAACCGTTTGATGTTTTTAAAGTAGATTTTCCTCCCGAAATATAAGCCTTGATCGAGTTTACAAGTGTGTATGGGATTAATGTTAATATATATTAGTTTAACTTTGAAATATTTGACTTATTCGCGGTTGATATTGCTCGCACTTCCTCAACCAACTCAAGCGTCAAGTGGAATTAATGCGGTCAC